TCACGTGTACATTGTGATGTCCATGAAGCAGGGTAACTCTGAGAAGGGGTTTACGACTCTGGTGTTCTACATGGACAGCTAACATTTAGAGAGCAGGACTTTAGACTCAGCTCTACAGTGATGCAGCTATCCATGAAAGGCTGAAGTATAACCCCAGAGATATGTCCACACCTAAGAAAAGCTAACCATTAGATTTTTCCATTGCCTCTGTGAGACCCGTCTCCTGGGCATCACGTGTGCATCATGGTTTCTGTGCATTGGCTTTGCAGGCTGAGGAGGGATCCTGTGCTTCTGCAGGCACTGCATCTGTGCGGCCCTCTAGGGTTCCCCAGACCCCCACCACACACACACACTCCTGCTTTTGAGGTCGATCTCCCAGAGATCTGCCTGCTTCTGTCTCTTGGAGTGCTGGGATTAAAAGCGTATATGCCCTTTTTAAGGACTATTTAGAACTTGGTTCCATGAAACAGTGACAGAAAGCAAGTCCCTAGTGGCTGAAACCACTAGGTTTTCACACCCTAGCAGTTGAGACTCTCTGTGGAAGTGAGGAGTACCTCAGAGTGCTAGAGACAGACTTGCTTTGGGCTGAGGCTGAGATACTTGCTAGTTGTGTGACCTTGGCTAAGTGACTTTGAACCTCAGTATCCTGAAATGACCAGTCCAGGGACCATCACTGCTCTGCACCAACAGTCTCTGTGACAGGAAGGCACACTAGGGAGAGGTGCAGTTCTATGTTTTATGATGTTAGGACTCTTTTTTTTTTTTAATCTGTGGAGAAACTAGCCGAGCAACTTCTGTTCTTTCTCAAGAGAGGAAACATCTAAAAGTGCCGATTCCTGCTGGATTTTAAAGTCTCCTACTCAGGAGGCAGAGGCAGGTGGATCTCTGTGATATAGAGGCCAGCCTGGTCTACATAGCAAGTTCCAGGCCAGCCGAGGCTATGGGAAGAACCTGTCTCAAAAGCAACAAAACAAAAATAAGTCCTTTCCAGCAGGGCCTTGCTCTGCCGTGGGGAGCAGGCAGCCCTACTCTTCCTGGTCATCTCTCCAGTGGGCCATGTGACTAGAGACTGGTGTATGGGGTCTGCCTGGACTGAGCTCAGAACCCTTCCGACCCTTGCCTGTGCCTCTTAGAGAATGACCTCTGAGACCATGCTCTAAAAACAGCAGAATGCAGGGGGAGAGAGCCACAGGCTGGCCATCAGCCCAGGCCTCATTGTGAGCACCGCCCCCCCAACCAAAAAGTCTCCAGTCTAAGCACTGAGGAAGACAGGTCCAAGCCTAGGTGTGACGCTTGGGAGACTAGGAGCTACCTGGGTCCCTCACCCCAGCTCTTGGCAGGCACCCCCTGGCCTGGGGCCAGCCTGTCATTATCTGGCTGTGGCAGGGAACAAACCATGAAGATGGCTTTGGATGAGGACTGCGGCCGCCTCGGGCGGGTTCTCGGAGTGGACCCCAACAACAGGGCAAAAGAGCGCTGGCTCTGAACCTTGCTGGAGGGACGGCAGAAGCTGCCAGGACCTGGCTGCAGAGGTGTTTAATTGCAAAGGTGTTTCTGGTTGAGTGATGGCAGTGAATCAAGGCTCCTTTGGGGAGAGCACAGAGAGGTTTTGTCTTCCAGGACCAGAACCTGCCTGAGCTGGAAGAGGACCGATAAGAGCCCTCTGCCCATTGGTTGGGCCAAGTGGAGCACCTCCTGTTTTTCCTCCCACTCTAGTCCAAGCTCCGAAAGGCAGGATCTTCCCACTGCCGCCCTCCTCCTACTCTGCCTGCCTTTGTATGGACACTCAGTGATGAGATGGACCATAAAATATGTACTATAATCAAGTAGCAACATTTGGGGAGGCTTTTCTCTCTCTCTCTCTCTCTCTCTCTCTCTCTCTCTCTCTCTCTCTCTCTCTCTCTCTCTCTCTCTCTCTCTCTCTCTCTCTCTCTCTGTGTGTGTGTGTGTGTGTGTGAAAAAGTATAGTGTATGCAGATTACCTCCCAAGCTTTGTGCCTCCTTAGAGAGACAACCATCTGGGTGGGCGTGGGAGCCTTGAATACAGCACACTGCAGGTGCCGGAACCCATTCTGGGTTGCAAACAACTGAGTACCAGGCCTTTTGAGAGGCCAAGAGCAGGGCTGTGGCCCAGGGTCTTTGTACAGAGTGTGGGAGCCTTGAATACAGCACACTGCAGGTGCCGGAACCCATGCTGGGTTGCAAACAACTGAGTACCAGGGCCTTTTGAGAGGCCAAGAGCAGGGCTGTGGCCCAGGGTCTTTGTACAGAGCCATCTCTATCAGAGGCCCATGAATAACTTGGTTTCCTGACTTCTAGGCGCAACGGAACCCATTCTGGGTTGCAAACAACTGAGTACCAGGCCTTTTGAGAGGCCAAGAGCAGGGCTGTGGCCCAGGGTCTTTGTACAGAGCCATCTCTATCAGAGGCCCATGAATAACTTGGTTTCCTGACTTCTAGGCGCAACCGGTAAACTTACAAAGCCCTCAAGATGCAAGACAGAAGTCTCATCTCTGTCCAACCATCCCTGCCCCCCAGCTGGGCTCAATCATGCCGCCTCAGTGACTTCACAGCCCCACATCTGCCTCTCTTTGACTCACTGAGCACACTGGCTCGACAGCCCGGTGTTCACTGTAGTCCTGATACTTCATCATGCTGGCCTCATAAATTCTCAAAGTGTTTCAGAAATTTTGACCTGATCAGATTTTCCCTCCCAGAGAAATCCAGTCAAACCTGCTGTGAGGAATTTAGGGGATAGAAATGATGAGGACGGAGTAGAACCCAGATGCATTTGTGCACCTGCCACCGCCCCAGACTGAGCTCCTGAAACCAAGGACCATAGTTCTCACCTGCCTCCCGAGTCGAAGGAGGACCCAGACCACATTGGCTGGCCACCCCCCGTGACCACATAGCACATGAGTCATTGAATTGGGTTTTCATGAAGTATCCCTGTAAGGTTAGAGTTTTACCCCATCTCCCCCTTTGGAGAAAACTGACACTCAAAGGAGTTAAAGAATTTCCATGCTCTTTATTTATTTGTTTGTGTGTTTGTTTGTTTTCACCCAAGCTGGCCTTGAACTCTATGTACAGCTAGGGATGACTTCGAACTGCTGATCCTCTTGCTTCCACCTCCTGAATGCTGGGATCATAGGCACATGCTACCACACCTGCTTTTATGCAGTCCCGGAGCTAAACTCAGGGCTTCATGTATGCTAGGCAGGCACTCTATCAACAGAGCTATATCCAGCCAATTGAAATGGCTTTCTCATGAGCAGCTACCCAAAAAGAAGTGGGGCCCAGATGCAAATTCGGAATTTATTCCTACACTCCATATCTACCAGTTTTGTTCAAGCACAGTGTGTTAGAAACCAGAGATCCTAAGTCAAAAGGACATCTGGGGACATCGTGACAGCTGCCTGACTGTAAGCCTGTTCAACTGAGCCTTCATGTAGCACCTAAGGGTACATTTCTTCTCTGGGTAGTCTGTCAGGAGACATGAACACACCCACCCTCTCTTTCACCTCTGATGCAAACCAGGTGTGGGTACAGATGGAGCAGTCATTAGCCATTGAACACCAGACTAAAGACAAACTGTTTACCTGTCTCCTTGTTTTAAGATGAAAAGACCATGATCAAAGGAGGCTCACTTTACCATGGGCCCAGCGCCATGTAAGCCACGTGCTCTGCAGTATTTCATTTCCTAGAACTGTCAGTTGGGAATGGACTAAAAGCCTACCCAAAACCTCAGATGAGGAAATAGGTACCGAGGGACAAGGTAGTCTGCCCCGTCCCAGAGTTCATCAGTGGAAGAAGCAGGATTTGAATCTAGGTCTACTCCAGAGCACCAGGCTTTCCAGCCCCATACCCACTCCTGATCTTTGCTTCCAGGTTCTGTGACAGATGCTCTACCCTGCACCGACCTGTCTCCTCCCCTCACTGACCTACCCACCCACAATCTGCCCACTGGCCACCCTCCTGCACACAGGTTCAGCTCGGTACTTATGTTCAGTTTTTGAAGTATGACAGGATATTTTCAGTAAAAATATCTCCCTGCTTATACAAAGAAGTGGCAGAGCAAGCTGGCGTAGGGCAGATGGGAGCTTGGCTTTTAATGAATTTGTTAGCACACTTAGAAGGCAACAGTGCCTTGTTGAAGGGGAGGCTGAACTCCAGGGGGCTGTGCCCAGTGAGGCAACCCTCCAGCCTACTCACCCCAAACTGAGAATTGCCAGAGTCCATAGCACAGATGAGCCAGCTCTGGATTCAACTAAAGGCCTCACTCCCCAGGCAGCTCAAGCGTCCTCAGCCTGTGAGCAAGCTGCTCAGCCTGTCCCTAGGGAGCTACAGGATGAATCAGGTGATGCTCATGAACATGCCCAGTGCGGCATCTTGGTTCCACTTCCCAGGGTATTCTTCCAGGAATCCCATTCTTCCATGACAGTGTTCTAGGAGTCAGTTTAGGATGGCAGGTATACCTAAGAGTATATGGAAGCTTTGTGGAAAACTCCAGTTGCAATGGACCAAAGGAAACTTGTGCGCTTTGGGAACGCCCCTTCCTGTCCCACAGTCCCTATAAGGCCTTAACTCTTAACATGATAACATTCTCTTTTCTCTTGGTCTACTGTTTATTCTGTGACATTTGCAGAATGGCAGGTCTGGGCCCTACACGTATATGTAAATCTATAGGCAAGACATCATAGCAGAGCTCAGAAAGGTCCAGGCCTCAGTTCTTTTTTCTCTGAAGCCACAGAGCCATCACACTCTCCAGAGCCCCCTGCTGGCAGGTTCTACCTTCCATCACCTCTCTGAGCAATGTGGTCCCTCACCCTTCAACCCCACTGGTTCCAGCAGCCATTCCAAGAGACTGCTAAGAGATTATGCAAGTCCTGGCCTGGCCTTAACTGACCGAGGCTCTTCCCTCCCACTTGGGATCACAGCTAAGGGAAACCTGGTGCCTGGCTCAGAGGCCCACGTGAGCTTGGATCCCACAAAGGACTTACCCGATGGCTTATCTGTGGAAGATGGGAGGCTGGTGAGGGCAGGCATGGTGGGCAGAGGGGGTGGCAGCACCTTCAGGTTCTGGTCACTCTGGATTTCATTGGTCGAAATCTGGTTGATGATTCGGTTGTAGGTGGGAGGTTGGTAGACCCGAGACGGGGTGGCAGGGGGTGGCTGGGGCACAGGCCTGGCCGCAGGCACCCGCTGGCAGTGTTCTTCCAGCTGTGCAATGACCTCTGACTGGTTGTGGGCCAGCGTGGCCAGGTGCTGGTACTTGTGCTCCAGGTCCTTGTACTTGCTGGCCAGCTGCAGCATGTCGGCCGTCTGGTTCAGGATCCTGTTCTCCAGCTGGGAGAGCTCCAGCGCATTGTCACGCTTGCGGATGATCTCGTGCAGGAGCTGCATGTACAGCTGAGTGACTCGTGAGTTCATGTTGCGGCTCTCCTTGCGCAGCAGCTTCACCTCACTCACTATGCCGCCATCCACCTCCACCAGCTGCTGCAGCGTCTCAATCTGCCGCTTCTGCTTGAGCAGTTCATTGTTGAGCAGCTCCAGCTCCTGCTTGTGCACGCGGTTCTCCAGGAGCACCTCGGGCTCCTTGGAGTTGACGCAAATGGCGCCCGTGACCCGCTGCTGGGGCACGATGAACGTGTAGGTGCACTTGTCTGGAGACTCGCCTGCCCGCTTGTACCTGTTGAGGTAAATATACTCTCTCTGCGAGCCATCCTCTGCACCCTCAAAACTGTCCTCAGGGCTCGTAGCAGCTCCCACGGTGGCCAGCAGTCCCAGCCACCAGCAGGTCACACACAGTGGCCTCATGGTCCTTGCAAGGTGGTGGTTGGTCTTTATGAATGAGTTCTGTGGAAGTCTGAAAGTAAGACGGAGAATCAGTGACAGTCCCATCCCTGCCAGTGGCCTATGCCACCACAATCCCACATTCTGTTCCAGGCAGGGAATTCTCTAAATGCAGTTTGAGGGATCATATTCTGTTCCCCTGGAGTTAGAGGGGGGATTGCCATGAAAATATCAGAGGACAGCAGGGCCCTGCAGAGACAGAGGGAAAGGGAGAACCTGGGTACCTGGAGGCTGCCTTTGGGGTCATGATCCTGCTGCTCTCAGAGCCTGAGGACCGCCTCCAGGCAACTCAACACCAGGAAGGGGAGGTGGAGGGAGGGCTGTCTGCTCTTGCTCCTTTGCCTCAGGATCCTCCAGCCTTCACACCCTGTCATTCTACAGTCTTATAACGCTTTCCCCATGCACCGTCTGTCCCAGCTGTGATGCACACACACTACTCTCTGGTCTCTACTGGAACTGAGCTCTGTAAGGGCGGGTGCAGAGTCTGACTCAACCTTGTCCCTAGAATGTGGCACTGAAGGCTTTTCAGCAAGTGTTGCTAAATGAATGCATTGTAGACACAGACCGAAACATGTTCATTTTGTAGTGCACAATGTCAGTAGAAGGATGTGTCCGATCACATGGCTCTGGTTTGTGTGTTAGCCAATCTACAAAGCCCCAAACAGGAACAAACCAAGCTCTTCTAAACCCAAATATTTGTAACAGTCAGTGACTGTACAGTCCCGATCATTGCACCGTGATTAAGTCAGACAGGAGCAGAAGTCAGGCACGTGTCTCTAGCTTGTTTTTTGGACCATACATCCTCAGATGTCCAACACCCAACAGTGTGGTAGGCATGTGCTGGGTGCAGGGGACATGGCTGGGGATGGAGCCAGCCCTGCCCTCACAGGGCTTCCACATCACCAGAGTTCCCAAGTCCTGTGAGGAGAACTATCACGTGCTGTGAAGGGGGATGATGGGGCCCTGACCTAATCAGAGGGGTCAGGAGCACTTCCCTGAGAAAGTGACCTTTACACTGACCCTTGAGGGATGAGTAGGAGTTAGACAGGCCAAGAGGGAGGGGAGGATGTACGTGGTCCCTCCTCCAGGACCTCGAGGGCACTGCTCCAGCACTCTTCCCCATCTGTCCTGTGTCATCACGGTTTTCCAACACCCCTGCTGCTGGTTCTCTCTTGACCTCACGGCCTCGCTCCAGCTCTGTCCTGTTCTCTGCTCCCTCTTTGGCAAAACCCTCCAAAGATTGCCCACATTCATGGCTCCCAGAAAGCTCTCCTCTTTCTGTTCCCTCCTAAAGCCCACCACATCAGTCCTTGCCCCTCTGTCCACTCTGTGCACTCAAGCCAGGATGCCAGTGGTCTGGTCTCCACTTGCCTCTTCCTCTGCACACTTCCATCCCAGCCTGTTCCTCCCAGTTTTTCCTGTTAGTCAATAACAACTGTTCCAATTGCTCAGGCCAAAAATCTTGAAATCATCCTGAACAATTTTCTGTCTTTTGTAACCCACCTTAATTCACAACCAAGGTGTGGTAGCCATAGCCTAGAAACATTCCCAGAATGCCCCTGCTGTCCCCTGCCTTCCCTGCTCACCTGGACTATTGCAATAGTCTCTCAGCTTGGCTCCCTGTCCCTGCCACCCAGTAACCAGAGGGTTGGGGTCACTCTTCTATACAAAACCTTCCAGCAGCTTCTCATCTTAGAGTGGAAGATAGGGCCTCTTGGGACCCTCCCTGACCTGGTCTCTGTTCCCTCCCTGATTTCATCTCTGACCGCTACCCTGCTCAGTCACCTCCTGCAGCCACACTGGCTCCCGGCTGCTGTTCAAGCTGTCAAGCATGCTGAAGACTCAGCTCCTTGCCCAGAACTTCTCTCTCTGTTTCCTTATTGTGCACCCCCTTTCCCCTTCAGGTCTTTGCTGAAGCAGCACCTTCTCAGTGAGACCCTCCCTGCCTACTTAAGAGTGTGTGGCCTCTCCACCTCCCCCTTCGAGTCCTCATCACCAGCTGTATGCTGTCCCTCTGACCCACCCCCTCGACTGTCCGCTCTTCTGGAAAAGTCGGTTTAGGCCCCTGCAACACTTGCCTACTGCCCGACCTGGAATTGAGGCATTCCGTAAATATTTGTTGATGGAGTGAAAAGAGAGCTAACAACAACTGCAGTGCAGTGGAGAGTAGGAACTGGTGAACTGGGGAACCCATGACCAGTGGTTGCCTGAGGGGATCAGCCTATGCGGAGGAGGCCACAGGTCAGATTCACTGGTAACATCCATGACATCATTTACTGAGTGCCGCCAAGCACCTGACCCCTGGCTACTTTCCCATGTTCATGCAGTATCCTTTGATACTCTTCTTAATTCCATTTCACAAAGAAGGAAACAGAGACTCACGGGGGCAAATGACTTGACCAAGGCTAGAAGGGGGTACAACCAGAACTCAGCCCTGTCTGACAGCTGTTAACAGTTAGAGTCACTAGCAGCACCACTTCCACACTTGACATTCATCTTTGCTAAATATCAGCTGGAGCACAGGACCCAGTGCTTTGTCCTCCCTGGATCCCATGGACGTTTCTCCTGGGAGTCCCTGGTCTAGGCTACACCATGTGCCAGCCAGTAAGCAGGTACAGATCAGACCCTGTTCTCCACAGGGCCATACTAAGCTGTTTTCTACTGAATGCCGGAGCCCAAGCCTGGTTCTGACAGTGCAGGATACTGGGCCTGGCTGGCAATGAGAGAGGATTTAGAGAACATCTGTCTGCAGAGAGGCAGGGCTACAGTGACGTCAGTGGAAACCGGGCTAGTTTGAGAATGTTTGCCTGTTTCCAGTGCTTTGACTGCTCTAGAGCTGGTGGCCACACCCACCCCAGAACAATGGGGAGAAGCTGGGTTCCAGGCTAGGGTGGGCCAGCCGCACCTTCTACAGGCAGCTCACCTGCCTAGCCTAGTGACAAACACCTCTCTGCTGTGCCCAAGAAGCTGCCAGAGCACCAGGGAGAAGACTTGGCACCAGAAAAACAACAAAAACTTGATTTCCAAACATTTGTGTATATCCAGGCCTGGAGGCTATACTGTTTATTGTTGAGTTTCATCCCTTCCCAAGCATGGGTCCTAACCACACTCACCCTTGGACTTGAGATTCCAAAGGCGGCGTGATCTAGCCCACATTGTACACTAGGTAAGCAGCAGGAGAGTGCATCAGAAATGTGGGTTTGGAGTGCCATGGTAGCAGTGGGATAGCAAGAACAGCAAAACCACTGACAACGTCTAAGTGAAGAGTACTGAGGATGGCCGTGTGGGGTGGGGGGCGGGGTAGAGTGCCTTCACCCTCTCCTCACATCCTCTGTCACCCATGAAGAAATGCCACTGATGGCCTGCTTCACAGAGGAGGATGTAGGTCCGAGTCAGAGTTTCCCAGGTTGGAAGCAATCCACCGAGCAGAGCAGGTCCTGACCACCTGCCCCCCCAGCATCCTTAGTACCTGCCTAGTGCTGGCACAGGGTGGGGAGGGCACATCATGCAGGACGATCATAGATACCATTTCTTTAAAAAGCATGCTTTGCAATTGTTAGATTAAAAAGTAAACCAAACCAATTACCACTCACACGTGGTTTCAAGGACCTACAGCCCTTCTTGGATACATTAGCCCATTTGATCACTCCAAAGCTCAGAGCCACTTATTAGTATTGCGCCTGGTTTGAGGGTGAGGAAATAGAAGCTCAGAAAGCTATCAAGTCACTGGCTGGTGGTAGAACCAGTCTCAAAGCTGTATGGTGGATTCTGGGTCTTATAGTTCCATCTCTGTGAGCCTGAGCTTAGTGGGGGTGATTTGGAGCCCAGTAGTTTATAGAAAGGAAGGAAAGGGACAGAGTCCCCTACTGGAGGTCAGGCATCTATACCCTAGGCAACTCAGCAGTGTTATTGACCAGTGGAGACGGTGACATGCAGGCAGGCTGAGTGTCCTGCCTAGGGACAAGCAGCAGTTAAGAGCCCGAGCCCATGCAGCTGGACCACCAAGGGGCTCACACCAGGGCCAGGCTGCCCTTGCCCTCAGCAGCATTTGTTTTCCTTAAGGATTCCAACCCGTCTTCTAGTTTGGCAGTTCTGAATGGGCAGTAATGAGTGTGTTTACTTTTACTTTCTTGATATTTATTCAGCTAATTGCATCCCAAGAGAAGTATCCCCCCCAGCATTCCAGCCATCTTAGGCTAGGGAATAGCTCGGCTCCAATCAAAGCGCCCCTCCTTGGTTTCTCCCTATGAGCAACAAAGAAAAGCAAATCTGACGGTTTTCCTTGGCCTGGAAATTAAAAGAAAAATGCTGTTCTGAATTGCTTTTCCACATTGTGTGGTGAGGAGTTTCCGTTGTGCTGGGCTTTCCTCTCCCCATCACCAAGCCTGGAGTGGCCACGTGGCAGGATGGCCTCTGTACACAGGAGGTGGCCTCCCTGGGCTTGGGTCCCACCCAGCCTCTGGTGGGCTGCATCTGAGGGTCACACAGCATGTGCCCACACCCCTCTTGCCACCACAGCACTGTAGCCCAGGCAATGGGTCACTTTGTGAAGAAGTGTCATTTTGGTGAAATGGAGCTATGTCCTGCCTCCTGGAAGAAGCTGCTGGTCTGGAATCTACTTCTGGGTTCTTATCTCAAAGGTTAGGAATGAGAAAAGCTCAAATAATAAAAATAACTCTAGCCAACTATCACTAAGGCCCACTTTATCTTCATCATGCCACTGACTCTTCCCAGCAGCCCTGGGCAGGAAGACCCATTACTTTTTGGCAGCCATGTGAGCCAGGTGCTAGTAGCCCGATATCCATGTCTTAGCCAACAGCAGGGTGATTCCCCCATTTGACCAATAAAATACTGAGGTGCACTGTGCCACTATAGGGCGGGGGCACAATCACGGTCCTTGTGGTTTTGAATCTTTCTAGCAAAGCTCTCGATTTCTTTAGAGAGGGTTTCATGTGTCCCAGGCCAGCTTTGAAGTCACTGGGAATCCAAGGATGAACTTGAGCTTCTAATCCC